GGGATTTTCTAATTCTATCATTGTCTGCATTTATGGGATATGATTCTTCTATGAAGAAATACTTTCCATCATGATCACTTTGGTGCAAAGAAATTACATTACACATACATACACAGAATCCATGGATAAACATTCGATTCTTTTTTTTCCTCCAATAATCAATATTTTTTTATTATGATGTTGTGGGGTACAGTTAAGGGTTGGGTATACAAATACGTTTCAGTCAGGCACCCTATTGATTAGAGGTGCTTCCCCATCCTCAGACAGATATTTGCTCGTTAATCCCATCTCCCCCCCCCATAGTTTCCCACTACTGTCAGTCATTTTCTTATAGTATTAGATTGGATGTTCAAGGTCCATTATATGAGTGAAAACATGTGATACTCGGACCTTTGTTTGTTATCCATCCATTTTGAGAATAAATTTGCACTCTAGTAATCTCTACATTTGATGAGATTTTTTTCCTCAAAGAATCAAGGTGAACTGAAAAGTGTTTATACATTGATATGCTCTAACCCACTGCAATAATTACTTTCTCCATGTTCTGTCTAATCTTTGTTCAGTGAAAGTCCCAACAATTGAACTCCAGTGTTCTTTTGATAAAACTCAGTAATCTGACATAGCATCCTTGCTTTCAGGCAAGATGTCCTAAGGTCATCTCTTGCATTTCTTACCCTGGATCTGGCGGTCACCACTTTCCCATAAAACTCTAGTTCTTTTGAGAGGGAAATGGTGCTTAGAGATCACAGCCTGAATGCTAGTGGTGTTGGTTGCTACATTTTTTTTTTGGTTGGAGTCTCACTGTCACCCAGGCTGAAGTGTGATGGTATAATCATAGCTCACTGTAGCCTCAACCTCCTGAGCTCAGGTGATCCTCCCGCCCTAGCCTCCCAAGTAGTTGGGACTACAGGGGCACACCACCACACACAGCTTGCTTGCTTGATTTATTATTTATTTATTTGTTTATTTTAGAAACGAGGTCTCATCATGTTGCCCAGGCTGGTCTCGAACTTGTTTGTTTATCTATTTACTCATTTTTAGTGATGCAGTCTCACTATGTTGTCCAGCCTGGTCTCGAATTTATTTGTTTGTTTATAGAGAGAGATGAGGTCTACCTATGTTGTCCAGGTTGGTCTCGAATTAATTAATTAATTGATTGAATGATTGATTGAGATGAGGGCTCACTATGTTGTCCAGGCTGGTCTCAAACTCCTAGGCTCAAGTAATCCTCTCACCTTGGCCTACAGACATGAGTCACTGTTCCTGGTCTATTGTTACTTATTTGTTATTGCTTTTAGTCATTTCCAGAAACAGGTGCTAATAAATATTATTTCAGAAAGGGGAAAAAAATGACTGTATTTCCAAATCAATTTATAGATTTTTACTTACAATCTTTAACTTTATATTTGTATCTCTTTCCTCTTTGGCATAAAATCTTGGTTTCCATGACATTATCACAATTACAGAATGGCAAGTCTATATGACTAACAATACTATTGAATGCAGCATAAAATTTCTTTTTGAGATTTCTTTTTGACCTTGGCATATATCCCATAAAGAACATACAGTCAAAATTCCATGTTTTAAAGTCATTTAAAATTATTCTCTACATGTTTACACCATTAATCAAAATGCAGTTAGGTTTTTTCGTCAATTTATTTTCAATTTTTAAGAGATTGCTTTGTTACTGAATTTTTTTTGTTTTTAAATTGTTTAAAATGTTTACATGGGCCAGGTGTAGTAGTTCATACCTGCTATCCCAGGACTTTGGGAGGTAGAGGCGAGAGGACTGCCTGAGCCCAGGGGTTCGAGACCAGCCTGGGCAACTTGGTGAGACCTCGTCTCCACAATAAACCAAAAAAATTAGCCAGGTGTGGTGATGTGCACCTGCAGTTCCAGCAACTTGGAAAGCTGAGGCAGAAGGATCACTTGAGCCCAGCAGGTCAAGGCTGCAGTGGCCGTGAATGTGCCACTGCACTCTAGCCTAGGCAACAGAGTGAGACCCTGACTCAAAAAAAATTTTTTTTAAGTTAATACAATTTATTCAGGGGCATCTAATTTCCACCCCTACTGTCTCCTCTGGCCTCTTTCTCTTCCTTTAAGTCACTAGTTTTATCAGTTTGCTATTTTTATTCCATTACTTCCTTTCAAATCCCCACATCCTTTTTTACAAAAAATATACACCCTATACAAACTAATCTACATGTTTTTTCCCACTTAACATATTCTGGACATCACTTCACAGCAATACATAAAAAATTTTGTTCTTTTTTACAGCTACATTGCATTCCAATGTTGGGAGAACTATTTCCAGTGTTTGCTCTTCAAAATTGTGTCATAATACACAGTCTTATATGTATACCATTTCACATACAGTTTACCTTTGGGATAGATTCCTAAAAATGTAATTTATTTGTCAAAGTAAAATGCATACATATTTTTGCTAAATGTTACCAAATTCTCCTCAACATGAATTGTACCACTTTGCATTCACACTAGCAATATATAAAAATGACTGTTTCCCCAAAGTTTAACTAAATGAGCATCTTATCCATCTTTTGATTTTTAATATGATTTAGATTTTACTTCCCAATGCAGGGCTTTCCAAGATTTCTGTGATATACAATCTATTTCATTGTTGCCAAGTCATATACAATATGTTCAGAATAGATTTCAGGTGGTTCTTTAGTAAGAATCATTTTTAGTGTGAAATAATTAATTCATTAAAACATAAGTAACACCAGGCATTCAGTCTGGTATCTTGCCTTTAACAATGAAGCAGCAATGTTGTGGGTCTTTTACTTCTTTGACTTCTTTCCTTAATGAAATTACTCTGCCTTAGGATTCAACTAAGGTGTCTACAGAACTCTAACCCAAGTTTAAGTCTCATATTATCACTAACATACAGTTTAATTCTTCTTAATGTTTCTGCTACTTCAAATTAATTAATTCTCTCAATCACCCAGACCTGACACTCCAGTTATCTTTCATTCTCTTCTCTACATGTCTCGTTACCTAAGCAATCACCAAGATTCCTTACAAATTTTTATATTAAAAGAGTTCTTGCACATGGCTCATTTTTTAGTCCCATTTCTACCCTAGTCCCCACACTACTGGTATATTCCTTTAGCCAGTCTCTAGTCACTACTCTCTACTGTGCCTATAAGCACAGTTAATTTCTTATCATGTCACCAGCTTGCTCAACTAACAATGCTTTCCAAGCTGTGCTCCAAGGAGATACTTTACCATAGCACCAACAAAGCAGCTCCATTTTTATTCGTTTCACATATTACATTTTCTGCATAAGATCTCAATTGCGAAAAAAATACTGCTTTGCTGCTAAAAAACAAAACTAGAGAGTACAAAAGCCATGAGCCTATTAGAATATAATCTGACTCTGTTGTGCCAATTCAATTTCCTCTTGCTTCTCTTTATTAATAGATTCATGAATTTAGCAATATTTTAAAACCTAGTATTTTCCAGGCACTATATATCAACCAAAGAAGATAGTCTCTACTTTCACAAAATCTACAGCCTACCACAAAACAGATTAGCAATTAGAATGAAGTGTGCTATATTCTCCCAAGAGAAAAAATCATATGTATAGCTGGGAAAGTTAAGAACATTCTCCAATCCTGATGATCATAAGTAAAGCACCTCCAGGTGAGAGGATTTATAGGTGATGATTCAGCAGACTCGGGAAAATACAAGGTTTTAGTTAAAGCAAGAATGTGAAAGAAATCTGAAAACGAGGCAGGATTAAGAACAGTTTGTTAATTGTGGGCAGAATTCCACAGGATGCATTGAGAAGGTCTGGAAGGGAAAGGATTGGTATAAGGTTAGGCTGGCAAGAGAAAGCAGTCAAGATAAGGGTTATAAGAGCTTTCATCTTGATTAGTGGCCAAGAAACAGACATGTAAGGCAGCACAGATTTAATGGGCTGCAAGGTTACAAGCCAATCAGTTGGGGAGGGAGAGCAATCCACTCGGGATTCTGTTGTAGCATAAAGATAGATGACTCTTCTGATGGAATTCCTGGAGGATAAAGAGACTGCTGTTTCCCTATAAGTAGTCATCTGTGATCTGGACTAATCTCTTGAGTTCTAGGAAAAAATTCCAGGCTTGAGTCTCTAGACAGACAGGCACTAGATTTGGAAACTCTTTGCGTCAATGGGCTCCCCAAGGGTGAGCAATGGGATATCTTTTTGGTATGCCATTCAGAGGCCTATAAGTTACTATGTACAGAGTATATGTTTAATGTTTATTTTACCTTTTTTTTTTTGAGTCAGGGTCTTACTCTGCTGCCCAGGCTGGAGTGCAGTGGCACGATCACAGCTCACTACAGCTTCAAATCTTGGGCTCAGGCGATTCTCCAGCCTCAGCCTCCAATAGCTGGGACTACAGGCTCCTGGCACCACACCCAGCTAACTTATTAATTTTTTATAGAGATGAGGTCTCACTATGTTGTCCACGCTGTTCTCAAATTCCTGTGCTTAAGCAATCCTCTCGCCTTGGCCTCTCAAAGTGCTGTGATTACAGGAGTGAGTCATTGTTCCCAGTTGTTTAATGTTTATGAATATAAGAATTAATATCCTTCATAACACTGATTTAAAGTTAGAAAAGTATCCCAAATTGTCCTTAATGATCAATAAATTTATGTGAAGTCTGACTGCTCAGATTTAACTTCCAAATCTGTCATTTACTACCTGTATGTGACCCTGAGCAAATTAACAAATCTGTGCCTCAGTTTCCTTATCTATAAAATATAGATAACAATAAGACCCACCTTACAGGACTGTTCTTAGAATGAAATAAAGACACATAAAGCACGTAAAACAATGCCTAGTATACAGTAAGCACCTTTCTAAGGCATTATTTCATAGAGCATGATATCAAGTTCTTTTTAAAGTCCTATATTACTACACAGTGCAATGAATATGTTAACTACTATTTCAGACTTTAATCATGACTTAATGACTGGCCTATGAAGTTGTTACTTACCTGGATCAAAATTATCACCAAATATTCTTTTGGCAGGAATCTTCAGGGCCATAGCAGGAAATTGTTTCTTTAACTAGAATTTTTAAAAATAACATATAAATTTTATAAGTCTCCTAGTTATGCATGCAGTAAAACCAAATACAATCAGATTTTAAAGAAAATCCACCATAAGACATACTTTTAAATTATGATCACCCAGTGTACAATATTAAATTATGCCAATAAAATACTGCAGATTGACTAATCATCCTTATTTATTTATTTTACTTTGTTACCCAGGCTGGAGTGCAGTGTACTTGATCATGGCTCACTGCAGTCTCAATCTTTTGGGCTCAAGGATCCTTCTTCTTCAGTCTCCTAAGTAGCTGGAACTATAGGTGTGCGCCACCATATCCAGCTAATTTTTTTGTAGAGTCAAGGTCTTCTATGCTACCCAGACTAGTCTTGAACTCCTGGGCTCAAGCGATCCTCTTGCCTAGGCCTCCCAATGATGGGATTGCAGGTATGAACTACCGTGCCTGGCCCCTAATCATCCTATTTTGTCCCAATAAAACACTTGATATCTGTGATCATGGAAAACGTTACTTAACACCTTTGTGCTTCAGTTTTCTTGCCTAAAAATGGAAATAATTTTAACAATTATCTTACAGATTTGTTGTGAGGCTTTAAAGGATATCATATACATTAAGTGCTTAGACCAGAACCTGGAGTACAAGTTCTGAGTACATGTCACCCACCATCTATTATCTCAGGAGAAGATTCATACCTCAAGAGTAAAGACTATCTCTTTGGGTTCTCTCTACACCGAATAGACTGACAACAGTTTTCTAAGAAAGCTGATGAGTTTTGTTTTCAGTACTTTCTGCTGCTCTATCCTTCTTACTATTAATATTCTAATACATTTGTTTACCAGATTTGTTTGTATTCAAGATTAGGTAAACTTGGCCCTAAATAAATTACATTTGGTCAGCCTCACCTTAGGCTTCAGAAAAAAACAAAAAAGAATAAAAATGGCTGAGAGTGGTGGCTCACATCTGTAATCCCAGCCCTTTGGGAGGCCAAGGTGGGAGGACTGCTTGAGCCCAAGAGTTTGAGATCAGCCTGGGTAACACAGTGAGATCTCTAAATATAATGCTAATAATAACAATAAAATTAAATTTGGGGCAGTAAAGTCACAAAAATGGGTTATATTTCATATATATATAAAAATTATACATTTAACTTCTAATTGGCAGGAAATACAAAGAACAAAAGACTGAATCAATCACTCTATACCGTGGGCATGCTCAGCAAAATCTAGACTGAAATATGTGTATACAAATCATCCTTTTTCTTTTTTCATAAAAAATGTAGGGGGAAGGAAAAGAGAAGAACACTCTTAGTTAAACACTAAATAGATATTTGATATTAAGGCATTATTTTTTTATTTTTAGACATGATATTGGTATCGTATATGTATTTTGTTCTGTCTTTTATCTTTTAGAGATGTATACAAAAATGTTTACAGATGAAATAATATGATGTCTGAGATTTGGGCCAAAATTATGGTGGGTTGGCTAGGGATAGAGGTGAAACAAGATGGTCATGTATCAGTAATTGTTGAAACTGGATGGTAAAACTATATTATTTCTGTATGTACTAGTCTGTCTACTTCTGTGTGTATTTGACAATTTTATAATTAAAAGTTTAAAAATACAAACCACAGTCATAAAGGAGACATTTAAGCTAAAAATTAAAGTGCTTACAAATAGGAAATTTTACTTTTTGTTCTTTCTTTTAATCTAAAAGGGGAATAGGGAAATAATTTGTGTTTTTGAACTTCAGAAAATTCAGACCAGTTTTAACCTGATTTCTAAGTTGCAAAGAACACAACCAAATACCATTCTCCTATATTTTTTCCTTTGCCCCTTACCACAGGAGGCAGAATTAGAAGGCATTAAATAAAGAGAGAGAGGTAGGGCAACCCCCTCGGGTCCCATCCCATTGTGAGAGCTTTTCTGTCCTCTTAATTAAAAAAAAAAAAAAAGAGAGAGAGAAAGGTAGACACAGAAAATGATGAAATAAGAACAGGGTAGGGAAAAAAGGGAAGAGAAATTATAAAGAAATGAGGGAGATGAATGATAACTGAATTACATGTTAAGGAAACTTTTCTGAAAAATGTTTAAAGATGGGGTGTGTCATGGAAGAGAGAATGAATGTGATCATGGGGAGAGGTGCCCAAAACAAGCTTTTCTACTTTACTTTTATGCTTAAAGATACTGAAGTATTAACAGCCCCTCTCATTAATCTTCAGATATTTACATAATGAAACCATCATGAAGACACATCACTGGTGTGGTCTCCACACTGAATTTTTAGATGGCATTCCCTATACCACTTCCTATTATGAACCGATCCACCAAAGAAAATCTGTTTAAAAAGTAAATCTAGGCTGAGTGCAGTGGCTCATGCTTGTGATACCAGCACTTTGAGAGGCCAAGTCAGGAGGACTGCTTGAGTCTAGGAGTTTGAGACCAGCCTGGGCAACATAATGAGAGCCTGTCTCTAAAAAAATTAAAATAATTTAAAAAAATTAGCTGGGCATGATGAATCACACCTGTAGTTTCAGCTAGTTGGGAAGGTAAGGCAGAAGGATTACCTGACCCAGGAGGTCAAGGCTGCAGTGAGCCGTGATTGTGCCACTGCACTTTAGCCTGGGAGACAGAGTAAGACCCTGACTCAAAAATAAATCTAGCCTATAAAATGTTTTAAGCAAAGCATACAAGGTAGCCTCAAATTTCAGTTATTAGTAATTTTTTAAACAAAATTCGATCTTATCTAAGAAGTTCATATGTGTCTATAAGAGACAGAGAGAGAGCGCGCGCGCACACATGCCAGAAATACTACTGTCACATTATTTTTAACTGGGCATAAACAAGTATCCCATGGATACAGTAAGATTTGTATACTCCCCAAAACAATGCTCCACATGTAGATTTCAGATTTCCAGGAGTTTCAAATAGAGCTAACAGTTCAACCCTCCATCAGTCACCAATAGAAACTATGTTTTATGACTGAAAATGATGGAAAATATTCCCATGTACAAACTCTTATTGGCTATTATTTTGTCTCAAAAGTCTAACTTTAATTATAGTCAATAAAGACTATCTCAATAACATTTGATTAAGCAATATTTAAAAGTATACAAGTTGAGCACCCCAAATCTGAAAATCTAAAATCTGAAATGCTCAAAAATCTAAAACCTTTTGAGCACTCAAAATAAATTCTCACTGGACCATTTTGGATTTCAGATTTTTGGATTTGGGATGCTCAACTGCTAAGTGTAATGCAAATATTCCAAAATCCAAATCACTTTGGTCCCACACATTTCAGATAAGAAATACTTAACCTATGTAACAGTAAACTCAGTTGTACATGCATTAAGGAAAAATTAAAGAACAGAAGAAAACAGTAAAATTATTTGAGTAGCAACATTATGGGTGACTTCAAAATTTAATCTAGTTTTATTTATTTTTCTCTATCCAGATTTTCTTGCATTAATTTTACATGGGAAGAATAAATATCATTTTTAAAAGTTGCACTATTAGCTTTAAAAGCTTAATTTCAATTAACAAGTCATTTAAATATCATTCAGAACAGATACTGACACAGTGAAATGATAAAAATAAATCAGAAGTCTAACTTTTATGGCAAAACAAAACACAGCTAGACATCGTATGATTCATTCTGTTCCTTTTAGGAAGTAATTTGTCTCTTAACTGATATATGCTTAACTTCCTTCTTATTAGAAAAAAAATCTTAAAAATGATAACCCATAGACATACATATCTATTTATCCCTATTTTTAAATAAAGAGATAGGATTTCAAAAAAATGAAAAAATTACCTTCTTACATATATAAGTTTTTCCAGAGGATGCCTAGTACTGTACCATTCATTAAACAGTGACACTAGGGAATCCCTATATACTTTTATATGACAATGGAAGGATTTGAAGCACAATTGCTTTTTTTTCTTAACTGAAGCAAAGTTTTGAACTTAACCTGGGGTTCTATAACAACCTAACTAAGGAGGCAATCTTTGGCCTCTAATTATAACCCTCAGGCAACACCCTTCCCAAACACTGGTACCTGTGTAAGATCTGGCCTGATTTATTACAATGACCATGGTATTCTCACTGTCTATTTTAGAAAGTATGTACTATGTGTACTGCAAACACTAGATTATGAATATTACTTAATATCTGAAGTATGAATATAAAAACAGGTTTTAGTTATTAAAATAACTAATGATCTCTTAGATCACTCACCAAGTAACTGTCAGAACTTCTGAAAGTCAATACTCATTTCAGTTGTATTAGCTACTTAAACCCAGGAGCCTAAGACTTAGCTCTAAGAATAATCTATGGAAAGGAGGTAGGCTCATGACAGGCTTTCAAACATAGAGCTTATAGTTGGTAGATTTAACCAGAAATATTATGATGATTAGCAAGTATTAGACAAGCAGGTAGAAAGGATTTATTTCTAGTATTCTAAACCTAAAAACGCATTTTATATCATTCTCACATTTTCAATAGTTTATTCAGAACTACTCAGCAGTCTTCTCCAAGTCCTTTTTTGGTAAGGATTCCAAAGTTAGGATGTTTTTGAAGAACCTCACCTTGTCTGCTCATATGAGTATTAATGTAATTACTCAAATAAGTCTCTCTTATTCAGAAGTTTTTCAAGTTTTTTCTTTTAAATAGAAACCTTGTAGACTATTACTTACAGTGTTGTAAAGTTTATCAAATTCTGCATATCTTCTAAAGACAAACCATTCACTCCTGCCCACTGAGACCAGAACTTTATAAACCTGTGGAAATAAAAAACAATAATTTAACAAAATTTAATTGTAAAAAAAACTACTAGCTACTTAAATATATGAAATCTGCTTTCATACTCTGAAGCTGATATTCAAATTAATGTTTATATGATTCTGAGCTACATAAACATGCCAATTAAAACACTTACTGCATCTTGCCAAAAGGTGATATTCTATTTTTTAAATGTTATTTTCGATGGGAGCATGGTTGGTTCCAAGTTTTTGCTATTCAAAGTGGACTGGATAAAGAAAACGTGGTACATATACACGATGGAATATTACACAGCCATAAAGAAAAATAAAATTATGGACTTGGATGGATTTAGTAACTTGGATGGACTTAGGTTATACAATAAATACTCAATGATCTATCACAGAAACAAAGATCTAAGTGCTACATGTACTCACTCATAAGCAGATCCTGAACATTTATCGTAACACTGTAAGAAAGGGATTGGAAGTAGTGGGACACCGCCAGAGGAGGGAAAGGGCACATAGCATCAATAAGGGTACCCAAACTTTGACTACTTATGTACCTAACCCTGAATTGTTCTCTGTATCTTTGAAATAAAAATAATAATTAAAAAAATAAATGTTACAAAATATTTCTTTAATTTTCAGATACTAACATAGTGAATCCCTGTGTGCTCACTATTTCGATCTACTGAATTTTAACATTTTGCCATTCTTGCTTCAGATTTTTTTCCCCAACATAAGACACTATAGACTCAACTGATGCCATTTCCCTCTCTTCTTCCCTAGCAATATTACCTTGAACTTATAAAGTATTTTCAAAAGTGACATATAGCACATGGTGAACATTCAATTATTAGTTCTCTTTTTTCAGGTCATCTTTCACACAGTATCTTTCAAGCGAAGAATTTATCCTCAGGTTTCCTAGTACCTACCATCGTACATATTTAATGTTTTCAAATATACATAATCTTATATGGTAATAATCAACAACCTTATGAAGTAAGCAGAACAAATGTTACAACACACACTATACATAAGTCACCCTACCTGAGTTGCAGGATGGTAATATGGCCCCTTTGGTGTTAACCAAAAAGGCATCAAGCTGTCTTAGAAAAGGCTATCCGATGTAAAATGTTAAAATTAGTTACAACTCAATATTCCCCACATGGGGAGAGTGCAGAAGTGGACCCAAAAGACCCAACAGAGGTGCCAGTGAGGTTGACTAAGACTAGACAATAGATTTATCTCATATCCTACTCGGGATCAGACAGGCCTGGCAGGAGAGGATAAAACACTTAGGGTTATATGATTCTGAGCTTCTTGAATTCTTTGGGCTGACTTCCCAGTGAGAAGAGTGGGTCTTAGAAAAATCATATGGTCTCCCCTGGCTACTCAAGTACAGCCAAGATTAGAAGCAAGTCTAAGTTTCAGGCTGGAGCAGCACTGCAGTAAATATATTTACAGGAAATGAGATAAAGTCTTGCAAAGTTATTAATTAACAGTATGATTTATAAACAAGTGCTTATCAAATAAGTTCTAACAAAATAGCAATAGACAAAAACAAAAACTTCAAATTCATAAAAATACTTCCATCAGAAAAAGAAATCCACTAGTGTTTTACAGGAAACAATACAATACTTATTTCAATATGAAATTATCTTATTCATTTTTGAATATTTCTTTATAGTCTATTTTGCCCTACCAGATGAAAGTTCCTTGAGAGCTAGGGCTCTGTTGCCCTTGCTACCCACTGTATCCTCAGTGCCTAGAACAGTGCTTGGTGTAACATAAAAACTGACCATTTATCCAGTGAATAAATGAAAGTATAATTTAGATTTGGTTTAAGTCAAGATATCCTAGAATGCAACACATTTCCCTGTCAGAAGCTTCACAGTATAGAGCTATATAAAAAAGACATATGAGAACTGGAGTATAAAAATATTGTCGAATACTCAGTAACACAATGTCTATCTTTGTTCCTATGTATAACATAGGCATCTGGGCCTGCTGAGGCTGGACGCAGAATCTTTGCTGGGTAGGGTGGGGTCTATCTGCACTGACTAGAACCAGGTTTCTTGAGGACTTCACAGTAGTGACCAGCAAAAAACACATGACCTTAGTACTATTTTTTATAGAAAGTCAACAAATACTTATTTGAATTTCTACTATCTCTTTTCTAGGGGCTGGTGAAACAACAGTGAGGGAAGTCCTTACTTCAAAGGAGCTTGCATTTTAATTAGGGAAAGTACACATAAATAAACACTAAATATATCAGGTGGGTAAATGTAACAGAGTGAGGGGGTAGAATGAGGTATGAAAGTACTACTGTATACAGGGTAGTCAGAAAAAGTCTCTCTAACAAGACAATACTTGAGAATCTGAAGCAAGTTAATAAATAAGGTGCTTTGGACAGGGCCTCTGAGTTCTCAGTCCACAGCTTGGGAACAGGTAGGTAAGAGTGATGCTACAAGCCTCCTTGACCCTTTCACAGAAGACACAGAAATACTTTGACCCTGAAAAATCAAAGGACACATGACAGAACTTGCTGCTGACATGTTCTATGTGTAATCTTCATGATGTCACTAAAGGAAAGAATTGCCCAGAGGTAAAATTAAGGAGAAAGAGGGAGGGTGGGAGGAAGGGAGAAAGGAAGGAAAACTTTTATATTCCACTACTTTATTCAAGGTATATCAATCCTTATTTATCTTCAATGTGATATTGCTAAAAATTTGCTTATATGAATATGCAGTAAATGTTTAAGATATCCCTGCAATGTGGAGGCTGAGAAGGGGTAAATGGCCAGACATACATTACAATTTCTCGGTTCCGGGCTTTGGTACAGGGCCTGGAAAGTGTGTGTGGAGGAAGGAAGAAGAGAGGACACAAGGGCTGTTTCCCTACTCGTTGTCTGGGACCTTAAGAGAAAGCCACCTTTTGGGGCCGTCCAATTCCACCTAGTTAAGGAAGCAGAGTAGAGTGGTCAAAGAATTTAGTTTAACTCCTCAGCTTCCTTCAACCGCCATGAGACATGGACTCTGAGTTGGAAATCATGTCATGGGGCTCAACTAGCAGGTGCCAAGTGACACCCTTAATAGAGGTTAGGGATGGACCACTGAACTAGGAACAGGTGAAGGATGTGTCAAAGCCTCAGGGGTCTCTACAGTCATTGAGAGTCAAGGCACTGAGTCAGCAGTGAACTGCCACAAGACCTTGGCTAAGCCAACAAAGAGACCACAAGCTCGTGTATCAACAGTAGATGCCAGAAATGGATGCCAGCCAAATGCCGAGGGTTGGATCAGGTCAACCACAGCTGGATATCTGCCAAACCAGCTACTCTACAGCTGAAAAGGCAAAGATCTAGAGGGATGACAAAAATGCGAGAGCCTTCACCAGGCTGCCATTAGGCCAGTCATCAACTTAAACACTATAAAAGGGGCTACCTTTCCTCCCATAAACCATGATGCCAACCTGCAGGAGGAGTATGTGTTAAAATAAGAAAAAGAGAGCAGAATTAAGATAGCCTGAGCATTTTAACCAAAAAGAACTGTTTAAATTATTAAATCAAACTAAATGTTAAACAGAATAGAGTTAAATTTTTCTTTCTTTTTCTTTTTCTTGTTGAGTTGTAATCTCACTTTCTCTCCCAGGCTGGTGTGCAGTGGCAAGATCACAGCTCACTGAAGCCTTGACCTCCTGGGCTCAGGCGATCCTTCTACCTCAGCCCCCCAAGTAGCTGGGACTTTAGGCGTATGCCACCATGCATGGCTATTTTTAAAAATTTTTTTGTAGAGACAAGGTCCTGCTAAGTTGCCCAGGCTGGTCTCAAATTCTTGGACTCAATCAATCCTCCTGCCTCAGCCTCCGAAAGTCTGGAATTACAGGTATGAGCCATTGCATCCAGCCTATAAATTTCTTTATATTACTTGGCTGGGGGGGGGTGATGCTTACAGAGAAGACCAGATCAACTACAGACAAGATAAATCACATTTTTTTCAGGGGGAGGAGGGCAGGAGATCTCTGTATATTCTAACTGGACTACTGGAACTAAATACAATATTGTTTCTTTCATTACACTAATTAGAAAAGTGACTATTCTCCATAATAGTCACTGACAAACCGATTAAGCAAATATTCACTGTGCTTTACTCTTTACAAAGCCCTATAGTAGATATTATGAAGATTAAAAAAAATTAGAAACAGACTTTGCCTTTATGGTGAAAAACAGATAAAATACTGGGTTAAATAATGTTAAGCGGAGGCAGAAAATAATAAATGTCATGAGACACTACAAAAATTTCAGGAAGTAAAATCTAGATATGTGGACTTGGGGGAAAGGGGTGTTCTAGGTTAGGGAAGAAAAGAAATGGAAATATTCTCTATATTCAATTTTTTCCCCACAAGCTTTAGTTACATACTTACAGTAAATCTCTTCTTTTTCTCTCGGTGTTCATCAGAGCTGGGAATGCTTACACTTGGGCAGCTTTCTTTGTAGTCCATGGTATAATCTCTTTGGGTTTAATGCCTCAAAAGGACATCCAAAAATGACTCCGAAGAAACAGCAGAGGACAAACCCAATTAACTAATCCAAAATAGAAAACCTTTTGAAGTAATGTTCAAATTCCATCATGTAAACCTTAACAGAAAAAAAAAAAGAACTGATTAGCTAAACAATTTAAAAATACTGTGATCTGTCATTTCTTGTGCATAGGACCCATTTTATATTTATTCTGTCAGGAGTTTACTTTTGCTCATAAATCTCAGCCTAGACTAGAGACTTAGTTTCTGTTATGTTTTTATCACTAAGCCACAAGGATACCTTTGCATCCCATCTACCATTTCTAGGAAATTCCCAGAGCTTAGACACCACAATTCATGTGGACTAAGAGGTAACTCTCACCCAAAAAAGCTCTAGCGGGGTAGACTCAAAGTGTGGTTTTCAGACTTCTTACATCAGGATGAACTGGCAGAGTGTGAATTCAGACTATAATCCTATATAGTAGGTAACTATTCACTCCTGTTTTACAAAAAACAAACAAACAAAAAAAAACAATGGAGACACAAAGACGCTAAATAATTTGCATACCAGGATTTGAACCCAGGTTGTCTGGCTCCAGAGTCCTGACTTTTAATCACTGTACTAGGTTGCATTTTAAACAACTGTGGATGAATCTTATGCACTGAACCCTTGGTTAGAGATATTACAACAGCTCTTCACACAGAATAAATGCAATATGTTACTATCACTCCACCCGTGAACAAGGGGCGGCCTGAGATGTCACAGTGCAGCCCATTCTCTCCACTGACACCAAATAAGACCTTTTAAAGGATCTGTTTGCCTGGATAATTTCTCTGGATTATTAGTTTCAGGAAGTAACTCTAACAGATCTGATCACTGTAAATAACTTATATCCAGGTACTGAGCTTAAATACACATCAACAGGCACTGAATATTCAGGTATGATAAGTTTTAATGGATTATAAAGGTGCTTCCTTTGTGATGGTTCGAAACTTACTTTGCTGGATTTGCTGCTAGAAATGTAGTCAGGAAGGATTTATATGTAGCTGAATTAGTTGTTAGAAAATATGGAAATGTTACTGGCTCCCTTCTAACATAGAGTGCAGCATCTGTCTGTAAGTCACAGCACCCTAAAGCCCCTAAACAGCAGCTGCTTTGCCCCAGTTAGGCCAGGGCAGCACCTGACCAGAGTCTTGCCATCTTGTCCCAGCAATCTACTGCTTAAGCATGAGAGTATGTGGGTTCCACCTGCTCTTCTAAGGTAGGCCTTGTCCAGGAACTTCAGGAACTAACTCATCCTTTTACCCTGCAGCAGAGACAAGAGGGTAAAGGTTATGGACTACAGTTTTCACACAAGTACACACAAATCTGGGCTGGAGGTTACAGTTTAGATATCCTCCATTTGTCCTTCCAGATACAATTGCCTCTCTTTCTTCACCCTACCACATGCCCAGATGGCCGACTTCTACGGACTGCACACCTAGACAGCCCACCTCCTTGCCCTCTGTCTTTTGGTTGAATTCAGTCAATGCAAGGTACTAACAGATCAAAGAGTAGAAGGAAAAAGATGCTAAGATATTTATTCCCTCCAGTCTCTATCTGACACCGGTGGTTCCTCTACCTGAGGCCACAGGCAGCTCCTTTCCCCTAGCTACAGTTCCCAATGCTACAGTTGAAGGTCTGGGAGTAACACGGCTTCCTGACTTTATTAGTAAAGAAAGTGCTTCACCATGCCCTGCTGGTTCTTGTAACCCTGCCACAACATCTTTGTAAATATCTTTGTTAAGATTTTCTTTAGTTATTTTTCAGGGTACCATGTGACTGATGTAGTCAATTGATACCAAGAGTAACCCCAGGAAATAAAGCCTCAAAAAATGGGATAGATATTTGATAAGTGCCCTGACAATCTTTCTGTGGAGGGAGAGGATGGCACAAAGTGACATCATGATCACTAAAACTACCTCTCATGCATGGTGTCACAGGATGGAGTGCAGATGGAGGGCAGAGTGCTCAAAGCCCAAGTGGTGATGAAAACAATGACTCCAGAGATTGTAACACAGGCTAGGGCTGCTTCTGGCTGTCCTTGAGAATGTGCTTGGAGCAAACCACAATGTGAAAGCTGTGAATAAATCTATGCTATGGGTGGTAAATCTATGGTTGTTTTAAAGACTCCTTTACCTCTTAAAGTTGCTGAGCTGATAAGACTAACAATCAAGGCTGGGGTTTGATGGTTAGTGTTGCACAGTCAACTCAACAAGCAACCCTGAAAAGTCTCTTGTGCTAAGGGCACTAACTGGAAAAAGATAATGATATTGAATCATAGACACAAGCATTTCGATTGATATAGATAAGGTTAAGAATACTGAACCCCAACTTTGGGGAACTCTCCTGCAAAAAGCAGTTATCCACACCCCTCTGGAGACTCAGCCTCCCAAGGTCCCTCTCCAATAAAACTTTTTCAAGTTGTTTCACAAGTGTATGCCAATTCCCTTCACTGCCTATTTCCACCACCCTTCATTGTCTCATAACCCAAAAGAGTCCAGAAGGATGTTCAAAGCCCACTCTGGGAAAAGACCACCTTTAGACCAAAACACTTGCAGAATCTCAATAATCTTTACCACCAAAGTCTGGGGAGCACAAATAAGAGTACATTTCAAAAGACCTTAGACCAAGGATGACTAAATATAAGATTATGATGTCCCTTTAAACAGTCACAAGTGTATAGTGTTGATATTTTTCCAGGCCCTTTCCAAGAGGGGCCTGTAGCAATGCCCCAGGGTGATTGTCCACTATGGGAAGGGAAATACCTAATCCTTCCAAGTATTACTGGACACTAGCTCTAAACTAACACTAATGGCTGGAGACTCGAAATGTGGTCCACCAATCAGAGTGGGACTTCCAGAGATAAGTCAAAAGATTAAAATCAGCCAACTTTCCCACAGAACTAATGGTTATAGTTTCTTTTTGAATAAGCATAGTAATTGACTCTCCCAATCTTAAAGCTTGAAACGTACATTTGTCTTATCTAAGTTCCTTTCTCAGGAAACCAAAATTGACCTTCCTGGGCCTAAAGTTCGAAATTTACATTTTTTTAAAATCTGACTTCCTTTCTCAGGAAACCGACTCTTAGGCCTATAGTATCAAGAAACTGAAACTCACTAGATCATCACATCCAGACAATGAGATGCCAGACCCCACTGGTTTGCCAACTCCTCTTCCTTACCTTTCCCCAATTCCTGTTTATCCTCTTCTTTATCCCTCCCTAGTTCCTGTTTTCTACATACCTGCCCCACTATAAAAACCCTGACTTCTTGAAACTGGGAGATGGATTTGAGAATGAATCTACTATTCTCCTTAGCTGGTCTCAACCAATTAAAAAACCTTCCCTGGCAATACTCAACTTAGTGATTGGCTTTCTGTGAGGTGGGCAACAGGACTCTGACCAAACCCCTGGCATCCTGTTACAAGATGAAGTCAGCCCTAGTGTCTTTCTGTGGGTCCAGTGAGACCACAGACCCATCTTGTGCTTATTTCTCTCTCCTATAATTTTAGTGGAAACAGTTATGTTTAGTAACTGGCCAAGTACCCACACTGGTTCCTGTCCCATGTCACAAAAGCTATAATATAAGAAAGGGCCATTAAAAAGCCCCTGGAACTGTTCCTCCTCCCTCAACTAAGAAAGTAACCAAAAACTATACCACATCCCTGGGGGAAGCTCAGAAATCAGTACCACCATTAAAAACGTATAGAATGCAGGGGTTTTGGAATCTATTATATCTCCATTTAACTTGCCCATTTATCTGGATCATAGCTGAAAAAATCTTGGAACATAACTATGGAGTACCATAAATTTAATCAGATGATGTCAATTACAGTTAAAATTCTAAATGTAGTATTTTTTGCTGGTGAAAATTATCATAGTACCCGATATCTGGTATATGACTACTGACCCAACAAATGCTTTATTTCCTATTACCATCAGTAAGGACAATGAAATGTAGTTTGCCATGAAGTGGCAGAAACAGCAGTATACTCTCATGACTGTCTTGCCTGAGGAGTATGTTTGCATTGTCAATAAAGTCTACAGAGATCATCTTGATAGCCCACAGATCATCACACTGGTCCATCACATTGATGGCATTGTCTTAACTGAACCTGGTGAACAAGAAATAGCAAGCACCCTGGATACCTGTGTAAGACACATAAGCAAGTCAGAGAATGGGGGTGAAAAATCCCCGAAGTTAAGGGATCTACCACAATGATGGTTTCTAGCATTCCACTGGAGTGAGGCAAAATACCTATCTCAAGTAAGAGAAATTACTACATGGTGTACCACTTCTCCACTGAGAAAGAGGCAAAATAACTGATGAACTTCATATCTGGATATGCTGTTCTAACCCATTTACTGGTTAACCCATGACATTGTCAGTTTTTACTGAAGTCTATTTCAAGAGAAGGACCTGCAGCAATGAAAATGGCCCTAAAACTCTTGAACCTATGCCTCAGCACATTCAGTAGTACTGAAAATGACATGGCAGACAGGAAATGGCGACGGGACCTCTGACAAACACCAAGAAAAGAATAGGAGTTGTAGATCCTTTACGGTTTGCCAACAACTACTTACATTTGGTTTCTAACTTGCTACAAGGCCCAGGTAGAGATCAGATACCTGCCTATAAAAAAATCAAAAGACTATATAAGAAAAACCTATCATGAACATAATATCTGATGCAATGAATCATAAAACTGGACACGTATGGCAGCATTTCACTTGGTACAATAAAAGCAAGACTGAGCCTGAGCAGGTCTGGGTGGCACAAGTGAACTGCAGGGACAGCTGGCATGGATTCTCCTGGTATTTGTTCCTCCTTCCTTGTTCAAAGTCTTCTCTAAACCAACACTTAAGGCCTCATTAGGAGAATCCTAAGGCCAGTTAGCCGAGAAGTACAAAGACATGCCTATTTGTGGATGGAAATATAGTGTGCTAGCACTGGCCAGAAGCGAAAGAAGGCAGCCCCATTCAGTGATGGTCCTGAAGGAGAGTAGTGAAGGGAAACGTTTCCAGTGGGCAGAACTCTTAACAGTACACATGGTGGTTTACCTGGGTGAAAGGAGAGATGCTAAAGGGACATATCTACGATGATCCATGGGTAGTGGCTAATAGATGGCTTGCTGGTCAGGGACTTGGAAAGAACAAGACTCAGAAATTAGTTTAAAAAAAATAAAAAAGAGGCTTGCAGAAGAATATACATGAACCTTTTACTACAGCACAGAATGTGAACATATTTGTATCTTATACTTGCCCACTGCAGAGAGGCTCTCAAAAGTCAGGTGGTCAAGATGACTTGTCTTACGGATATCAGTCAGCCTCTTTCCCATCTATCCCACTGCCCATGACAAAGTGGCCAAAGCAGCAGGCCACCTTTAGAAGGCTATATAATGGCTCAACAATATGGTTTTCCTCTCTCCAAGACTGAACATCCAGCTACTGCCAGTAAGGAGTACCCAATCTCAACAGTAAAGACCACTGAGCCCCACTATGGTATCATCCCACAGGGAGATCAGACAACCACACGGGGAAGGATCTGTCTGACAGAAGCCAGATTTGCCTTCCCTGCCTGAAATGCTTCTACCAGAACAACCATTCTTGGTTACAGCATGCCTTATTCATTGTCACAGAATCCTATATAAGATCACATCACAAGGAGCACATTTAGGCCAAAAAAATGTGGCTTGATAGTGGTTGTGTTCCTCTGTCTTAAGACATAGCTCCTGTCAGGTGGTCTCCATTCCTGTGGCTCAACTTATATGGGATGAAAGGCTACAACTCTCTAGCAAGAGTCCTTGAACAAATTTAAGTGATCTGAGCCCTAGTTTCCTAGTCTAGAAAATGGGGCTAGCAACACTGACTTCATATGGTTGGCTTTAAGGATTCAAGATAATGTAAATAATCTAAGCCGGACTCAGTGGCTCAGCCTGTAATCCCAGCACTTTGGGAGGCTGAGGCGAATGGATTGCCTGAGCCCGCGGGCTCAAGATCAGCCCAGGCAATGTGGCGAGACCTCGTCTCTACAATAAATCAAAAATTAGTCAGACATGGTAGCACATGCCTGTAGTTCTAGCTACTTGGAAGGCTGAGGTGGAAGGATTGCTGAAGCCCAGCAGGTTGACGCTAGGGTGGACATAACTGTGCCACTGCACTCCAGCCTGGGTGACGGAGTGAGACTCCAACTCAAAAAACAAACAAAAATCTAGCACTGTTCAGGTAGCCAATAAATCAGATCCAAACTGTAATAATTTGTTTTGAACCCATTTTTACTCCTTCATTCAACAAACACTTGTTAAGCACTCATCCTGCATAAGGCAATAACAAGACAAACAGAAAACGATACCCTCAAAAGATGTATCTAATAGGGAAGTCTGGCAAGCAACATAAAAATTTGTTAAGTATGATGTTATGTGTATTCATGGTATTCTAAGAGAGTACAGAGAAGGCACATGATCACAGACTGTCATATATGTTCAGCTTTGCTAAGAATAAAGCCAGGCAGGTATGGAAGCAAAAGTTTGAAAGCGATCACATCTATTTGGTCCAATTTCTCCGCCTGGGAAAAGGAGCCAAAATCAAACACTGGAAATGAAACTGTTGCTGTGAAGAAAAACACAGAGGTCAAATCGCTTGTCCAAGTTAATATCCAACTGACAGGCAACAGAACTAAGATCCAAACCCAAATCTGTCTGACTCCAAAATCTATATGGGGGGGAACCCCCCAAAACCCCAAGAATTTATTAATTAAAAATTGTGTTTTTATTACATGTTTAAACTTCAGTCACCTTCAAAGTATTCTGTTTGATGCAATATGCCTAACAAGACACTTTTCCCATTGCTCAAAAGTTTCTGAACTCATTAATTCTGATGTCTTTCAGTGCTTCTGTCATTTTTTTGTTTTGCCTCTTCCACAGCAGCAAAACCTTTCCCTTTGAGGACTTTTTTCATCTAGGGAAACCAAAAAAAAGTTACTCAGAGAGAGACTGGGTGAATAGAGAGGGTAGAGAATGAAGGTTACGCCATTTTGA